CTATTTTCGATTAATGTTTGTTGACTTCATCTTATCAACTATATCATAAGGCATTTGGAGACAGCAGGTACACATTTGGGGACAATGATTATGCTTGAATCTTTTTCTTTTCTTTTCTTTTTTGTGGTTGTAGTCAGTTGTCTAATCCTACTAAGTCAAAGTTAATACTTACCACACCCAAAATTCAAATCCTGTCCACCCAGGGGACTCTGCTGCAGTTGTTACAGCAGTACAGGACACTGTGGGGCTCCAGTGCTGAATGAAACCCTGGTTCACGGTCCTTCAGTGTATTATAGTAAAGGTCTCCCCTAATACCACATTGCACTTGTAAATCAAGGAAAGTAAAGAAGAGCCTTCTGCTGCCCAGCTGGTTAGCAGACTATTAGGTTTTAGAGTAATCCACAGACCATGACCAACATGCAGAGGTACTCTGTTTGGCCTGCTCAGTGTTTTTTTGCGGGGGGAGGGGGCAAGGTGTTTGTTTTTGCTCGTTTGTTTAATATTTATCATTGCTGTCACTTAAAAGGCAGATTTTTTTCACACTAAAAAAAGTTAAAACCCTGAGCTTCGAGGCCCCTGTATTGTTACGAGTCATATTCCCACACGGAAAATAACTCTGTAGCTATGCACTTGCTAGTTCATTATCTTTCTTACGGTGTCCTACCATAGGACAGCAAGCCAGAGCCACTCTTTTCAGTAAGCTCCCTGACCTGAGGAGCATCTGTGTTTGCTAACCTAGGTTGGACTGAAAACAGACTGACTGCAAGTATGTAACCTGCTAGTCAAGGTCAGGCTGAGGAGGTCTGCAGATAATCTGAGCACACAGGACCCTCTCCTCCACATGAATGACCTGTTTGGACTATCATATGTTACATTTACTATGAATCTCTACCTGTCCTAGGCTTGTGAATATGTCTTGATAACCAGTCCTTAATTCCTGCTCTCTGTCTCTGCTTGGCAGCAGAGTGACCTGTGTTTTGTACTGAGTGTATCCTGATGATCATATAGCCACAGTAGCTTCAGAGGAAGGAAGACCACCTCAACCCCTGACATATGTGACGTAGTTTAGCTTTCTCACCTGTAATTCATTTCCATATAGTGTCATGATTCAGATTCCACAGACTAGGAACTAAATTTCAGCAAACATTCTGTCAGGATGAATAGTCTCACTGTGTCATATAAAATGATGCCAATACGATTATTACAGAAACAAAAAGTCCAAGTACCTCAATCATGGTAAATTGTTAAAGCACTGCTTCTGGTCTGGCCTGGTCTGGGCTAGGGTCCAACACTCCAGAACTATTTAAACTATATAAACAATATGGTCTTTTCTTATTCAACAAAGAAAAGTTGCCACTGATTTTTTTCTTTGCAAGGCTCTGTTTTATCACATGCATTGCCAGCAGGAAATAACTGCTATTAACTCTCCAGTAGAGTAGGATCCAGAAGTTTCCCTACATATTTCTGTATGATACTGCTGAAGTGGGTCCTAACTCTAGGATCGTAACTTCACTGTATTCTGTATAAAAGTGGCTCATTATTTGAAAGACTAATTCAAACACAGCATGTTTATAAGTAGGCTGCTCTCCTCCCCAAAGTATTATATTCATTGTTTGAGTATTTCTTGTTAGATGATAAAAATTTTAGTAGACAAATTAGAACCTATTCTTTAGGTTTTGCAACATGGAGTATGGTTTTCCAAAGGGGGAAATGTTTTCTTGGCATTATGTTGTTAGGTTCAGTAATTTTCAGAATGAAAATAGAGATGGTAATATACGTGACTCAGTTTTTACCCTAACAAAACTAAGAGCAGTAGCTCTTCCTTAAGAGAAAATATAGTCATGTCTGGGTATCCTTGGGGAACTGGTTCCAAGACCCTCACAGATATCAAAATCTGTAAAATACTTAAGGCCTTTATATAAAATGGCATGGTGTTTGCATATCACCAATTCACGTACACACATGCATTTTAAATCTCTAGTGCCATGTCCATGTTATGTAAGTCATTTGTACTGTATTACTTAGGAAACAGTGACAACAAAAGCATGTACATGTTCAGAAGAGATACAATTTTTCTTCCGAATAATTTCCATCTGTTCTTGGCTAAATCCACGGATACAGAACCCATGGATACAATTACAATTACATAGTCAACTATATACAATTACAAAATACTCTTCCTTTGGCTAAATACTGTGTGAACACTTCCACTTTTATTATTTCAGTAATCACCCTTGTATTCTGCTGACCCCAGATTTCTCCCCACAAGTATACCAGTTAAGGAGTGGTGGGATATGTAACTGAGCCCATGTGAAACAAACAAGGGAAGGCTGATCTGCGATTATGCAACACAGGCTCTGCTTCCCTACTACATGGACTATGGGAGCAGAGTATTTGTTGAATACTTCTCATTTGGTTTACAAAAGTGGATTTCAACCACCTGAAGTAAAGAATCCTAATGAACACAGAAATGTTTTCCTACTGACTGAGTTTTTACATAAATGATTTATCTCAGCCTTTGACTTAGCTCAACCAAGAATAAAATTGAGACTCTGAAGCCAGGTTTCATTTTCAGAACAAATTCACTCTATCCCATGTAAGAACTAATACAGAGAGTATAATATTAAACAAAACTATATCACTGAATATTTAATGGCATTTTTCATTTTAACATCAAACAATCTTATTAGTGAGTCCTTGGTAATACACACCTAGGAGTGGATGATGCTTCATAATAGCGTAGCGGGTGCCATTGGGGGTATATTGTCAAACTCCATGCTATGTTGGTATTTAAAAGTTCTGCTTTGCCTTTTAATTGCTTGGGAAGCTGAAGGAAAAACCTCACTGCTCTTGGTGAAGTGTATCCTAACCCTAGGAATTGAGGAAGTTAATCTTATCCTTGGACTTAAACTATCAATTATAGGTCTAGAAATTAGTTGAGGAGCGTCCAAACACAAATAACATGTAAAGAAGTTTCTGCTAGACATGTGAGCTTCATTTGTTTTGCTGTTGTTTTATGTTATACAAGAGTTTCTCCTTTTTTGTCTTTGTTTTACTTCCTTTGCATGAACTATAGATCCAGAAAGACATTAATGTTGTATTTTATCTATACAAGAAAAATCACTATAATCACAGTAATCTGGGGGGAGAAAAACTACATTTTTGGCAAATAGATTCCACCTTTCCTCTTGTCTGTCAAGGAAAGTAGAAGCATAATATAGAGCAAAAATTCTTCAAATAGACAACATGAGAATTTGATATTGAAGAGAAAAATTATTAGTTTATGAGCCAACATACATTCTTTCCTTTGACCCTCAAGAACAAAAGCAGAGACAACATCAATATCAAATACACACAAAGACTACTCAGACAAAGTACAAAAAAGCAAAACACTATAAGTTGTGGATTAAGATAACTGTATGAATAGTGCACTATATATACCATTGAATTTGGCTTTAACTGAGCTGAAGGAGATTTTTAACTGGAATATATGAAGGAGGTTACTGGTGATGTGCTGTAAGGATTTCTAAGGGAACTGCTTGCTACTGTAATAGAGCAAAGAAATTGATGAAACTAAATGAGATTGTGTCTGGTAATCACAAATCTAATATATTTACTTCCCACCACAGGGGTATAGAGAAACTGAGATAAGCTGCTGACCTCTAGTCTCACTTGTACTTCACAACCATTGTGTACATGATAGAAAACAAGTCAACTAGAAACCAAAACTAGAAGTTTAATGAGGCACAAAAACTTTCTGAAAAGAGAAAATAATTTTCCCCTTAAATAGAATGTATATTTTAAAACGTTCCCAATCTTTTCTACTGTTTTAGTCTACATTCAGCCAAACCATACTTCTAAACATTATAAGACTAAATATCTAATATTATTTATTGACCATTATAATGGTCAAGGAAACGTGTACAAGGATTCCATCTTCTCTCTAGACAGTTATAAGTACTGTTAGCTTTCAGAACAACATCAAATTAGGAAAGCAGAAATTCCTTTTACATTAAATACCTACAGGCTGAAATAGGGGCTGAGGCTGCTAGTCAAATGTTAAATTACAACCAAAGTCCTCAACTGTGATGAACCTGGGCCTCTGTCTTACAGCTTCCTTTGCAGAACTTGCAACTTGCTCCATTTAGTTTGTCTCAGTAACCACAGCCTAGTCCCCTAGAGTCTTCCTTTACTCTGCAAAACTTACAGACTCCTCCCCAAAATAAGTGCACCCGAGGCCTGCATCCCATTTTTAAAACTTATTTTTATTAGTGTATACTAATCATAAAAAGTGAGAATTTCATTGTGATATAGCGATACATATGCATAATGCACACACTCACACACACACACACACCCTCTATTATTCTCTTCTCACCCTTTCCCCCTTGTTTAAAACTTTCTTACAAATGTTTAAGAATGGGTTTGGGTTCATTATGTTCACAGTTGCACCCCACAATGTCCCTCTTTTATCTTCATGTCCTTTTCTCTTTTCTTTAAGATCTAGATACCAGAGATGAGAGACAACACTTTAACCCATTTTAAAGAATCTCATTCTAGTCACGTACACTGTTGTGACTAGATTCTGAGGCTCTGGATCAGCCCAAATTTGAAAGTACCGGAATTCAACTGCTGACACAAAGAAAATGAAACACCCTTCAGCAAGCATGGTTAATATGCAATCCTGCTTAAATCAGAGTGTAATAAACAAATGCTATGACAAGTCCTTCATCTCAGTAAGATTAATAAGTAACGCCGACCTTTTTTCAAAGTTTAATTTACTACTAATTTTACCTCCTATCCTAAATGACTTTTAAGGTTAGTTAGTATTTTAGGTGTTAGGTAACAAAATAACTCAATGCATCTTCATGCAGTAAAGATTTTCAGTAGAATTAATCATGTGAACAAAATGCTGACAACCCAGTTGTACAGACTTTGAGTTAAATTATTACTTGAAAAAATTCATTTATATTCCCATAACAATAATTCTGTATTTTTACCTTGAGAAGATATGTGGGAATATTGCTGAAATCCACTGGCAACTTCAAAAGGAAGCGAGCTGAAAATTCACCAGTCTGTAGAAAAACAAGTACAATAAAATTAAAATAAAAAAACAGACTGACAGGTAACAATTATAGCTGAGGCCACAAATTCAAACTGTTCAAAATGCAGGCATCTTCAATTTGTATTTCCTAACACCAGGCAAGAAAACATGGTTGGAAAAGTAGGAGAGGATCAAAAAGAATTCTTCCACTATTAGTTACTAAGAAGCTCAAATTCGAATTTTAAAAATTTACATTTTAAATAAGCAATGAAATTATGGTCGTATTACTTTGTTTCTTAAAAATATGAAAAGAATACATGAATGTATTATCTTTTAAAAATTAAAACAATAGAAATAGACCTACCCTTAGACTCATTTGCTTTTACTAAAGCATTGAGTTCACTACACTAATATCTAAGATAAATTCCCAGGGCCATGACATATGACACCATCCACTTTAGTGTGTCTGGAAGTACATACAAAGGTCAAACTTCCACTCACCTAACGTGATACATCAATGGATACCCCAAATAAGTTTCTAATCTCTTGAAAGTCTATTAACATCATTATCATCAAGTATTATTTTTCAGTAATTCCCTCTATGAAGTAATCTCTATAATTAAGGTATACAAGGGTTCAGAAATTTAAAACATTTAACTAAGTTACAAACAACAACTATTATATTTTATTTTTATGTGTGTGAGGGATACTAGGGATCAAACCCAGGGCCACACACATATTAGGCAAGCACTCTACTACCAAGCTACATCCCTAGCCCAGCTCCTATTTTTTAAGAAAAACCTTGTGTAGAAGAAAAAGGTTTCCCTCTCAATTTTTATTAAGAGAAAGGCTAGGGAATCACATTTTATAAAATCTGTCATGGTCTAGGGCAGGGTTTCTAAGCTGGCTATGCAGAGACCTAGGGGCTCCAAAGATAACAAAGCTACATGCTGTGCTTGTGGAGTCCTGGGTCTTCCACCACCCTCTCTCACTAAAAGCATGCAGCCTGGCTCCAATATGACATGTTTGAACAAAGAACACCAGGGATGATTGAGAACTACTCTAAAGACTAGATAGAAGATTCCAAGATGGTGGATAGAGGGAGGACGCTGAAGCGAGCCTCCTATAGTGAAATCTTGGAGAGACGCTGGAGACACACCTTGCAGGCAAAACCACTGAGAAGAGGCAAAACTTTGACGACTCCACACTTCCAGCCGGCGCAGAGCATCTCCACTTCACGTTAAACGGAGAAACCAGGTGGGCCCCTGGGCCGCCAGTCGCCCACGCCCAGACGGCTTGGAAGACGCAGACAAGGTGAGCTAAATGGTACACGGTACTCCCACAGACAACCCTGGGCCAGAGCAGCATAGCCCCCTGGAGAGACCAACCTACACCCAGGGAAAAAAGAAAAACTGAGTACTAAGCAATAAGAACAATAAAGACACGTGGGAAAGAAGGTGGGGCACTGAGCGCAAAAGATTGGGGGAAGGGAATCCTTCCCAGAACTGTAAATAAACAAGCTGGGCGGGCCAGAGAGGTGCTGGCGGGAGCCCGGCACATGCCCAGCAACCAGGAACGGGAAAGCTTGTGAGAGTGGTGGAAGGAAGAAAACTCCACAGGAGAGGGGGAAAGACCCACTTCCCACTTGAGCTGTAAACAAACACGCAGGCCTGAGAAAGCAGGTGCAGTGTCACCTCCCCCAATGTGCTTGGAAAGGAGAAAGCTTGTAGCAGTGGCATCTGCCCAGAAGAACTCTGAGTAAACAAAGCCTACAGGGTCAGGTGAGTGCTAAGCTCACCCCTGAGATCTGCATAAATAAAGCCTCCAGCAACAGCAGGCTGACAGCAGCGGGCAGGCAAACCAATGCCTCAGATACCATTCACAGAACTGTCTCCAGACTCTTTTGTTTCTCTCTCCCTATCTTTGATGAGAAAACAACAGAACTACACCTGCATGCTGAAAAACTTACTGAAACTGTATTGCATTTGAACTTGGGACACTTGGTGGGGTTTTTTTTTTGAGCGTGTGTGTGTGTGTGTGTAGTTTTTTTCTACTTTATGCGTCCCCTTTGATGAGACAACTACAGAACAACATCTGAGGCACAATCTACAGGATTGGAGACTGGGATGGACACCAAAATTATTAAGACTGAAACTTCATTGCATTTGAACTTGGAGGTGTTTTTTTTTTCTATTTTTCATTTTGTTTTATTTTATATTTTTATATATATATATTTCTTTCATTTACTTATTTTTTATTTTTATTCTTATCTTTATTCTTTTTATTTTTTATTTTCAATCCTCTACGTCTCTCTAATGCCTGTTCAGCTTACTGTCGATTAGTACACTAATGTTCCCTGTTTATATCTTTGAAACTTTGTTTGATTCCTTGTTTCATTTTCTCCTACTTCTCTGTTTGTTTTTCCCTTTTCTTTAACTTCTTGCTTTCCATCTCCTCTCACCCTTCCATTCTAAATATTACCATTGTTATTATCACAAGCTAGAAAATACTTAATTGCACACAGTACAGGAACAGTAACAACACCAAGGGCAATGACGGGAAGACAGAAAAACAGGGAAACCAGTTTCCCCACAGCAAAAAATTAGTACAGGAACGAGAGGGGAAGGAAGAAAACAGTTACTCAGATCCAGACTCCAACAAAATGAAGATAAACTATGCCAAAGAACCCATTGAAGCCCACAAGAATAATTTAAAAGAAGACATACACAGGTACTCAATGAGAATTTTATAGAGATGATACTGGATATGGTCAACCAAAATGTACAGGAGACACTCAAGAAATTCCAAGAAAACAAAAATAGAGAATTTGAAAAAGCAAAAGAAGAAATAAGGGAAACCATAGAAACAGAGAACATGATTAATAAAGAGATAAATGAACTCAGGACAAAAATAGACAACATTAAAGAGGAAACCACCCAGAATATGGAAAACCTCAGCAAAAAGAAAGAAATAGAACTGCAAAACAAAACGGAAGGCCAATCCAGCAGAATAGAACAAACAGAAGACAGAATCTCAGAACTTGAAGATGAAATGATAATTAAAGAAAAACCAAAGAACTATTAGTTAAATAACTCAAGACCTGTGAAAAGAAAATGCAAGAACTCACCGACTCCATCAAAAGACCAAACTTGAGAATCATGGGCATTGAAGAAGGAGAAGAGGTGCAAGCTAAGGGAATGTGTAATATATTCAACAAAATAATAATAGAAAATTTCCCAAATCTAGAGAAAGATATTCCCATACAGATGCAAGAGGCCTCCAGGACACCAAACAGACCAGATCAAAATAGAACTACCCCAGGACATATCATCATTAAAGCAACAAATTCAGAAGCCAGGGAAAGAACATTGAAGGCTATGAGAGAGAAAAAACAAGTAACATACAAAGGTAAACCCATCAAAATCACAGCAGACTTCTCAACAGAAACATTAAAAGCAAGAAGAGCGTGGGGTGATATCTTCCGGGCACTGAATGAAAATAACTTCAACCCCAGGATACTCTACCCAGCAAAACTATCATTCAAAATAGATGGAGCAATAAAAGTCTTCCATGATAAGCAGAAACTAAAACAATATGTGACCACAAAGCCACCACTACAAAAGATTCTTCAAGGGATTCTGCACACAGAAAGTGAAACCCAACTTAACCATGAAAAGACAGGCAGCACCAAACCACAGGAAAAGAAAAAGCAAGAAAACAGAGAGTAACCTCAACTTAGGTACACACAATCAAACCTTCAAACAACTAAGACAACTAAATGACAGGAATCACCACATACCTATCAGTACTAACACTTAATGTTAACGGACTTAATTCATCCATCAAAAGGCACCACTTGACAAAATGGATTAAAAAGGAAGATCCAACAATTTGTTGCTTACAGGAGACCCATCTCACTGACAGAAATAAGCATAGGCTTAGGATGAAAGGCTGGAAGATTTACCAAGCCAATGGCCCCCGAAAACAGGCAGGAGTAGCAATACTTATCTCTGACAAAGTAGACTTCAAACCTACATTGATCAAACAAGATAAAGAAGGACATTCCATACTAATAAAAGGGGAAATAGACCAAAAGGAAATAATAATCATCAACCTGTATGCACCCAATGTCAACACACCCAATTTCATCAAACATACCCTGAAAGACCTAAAAGCATATATTAATGCCAACACAGTGGTTGTGGGAGACTTTAACACCCCATTATCATCAATAGATAGGTCATCCAAACAAAAAATCAATAAAGAAATCCAAGATCTGAAATATTCAATAGATCAAATGGACCTACTTGATGTCTACAGAACATTTCATCCAACTTCTACACAATATACATTCTTCTCAGCAGCCCATGGAACCTTCTCCAAAATAGATCATATCCTAGGGCACAAAGCAAGCCTCAGCAAATATAAGAAAATAGAAATTATACCATGCATACTATCTGATCACAATGCAGTAAAAGTAGAACTCAACAACAAAAGTAAAGACAAAAAACATGCAAACAGCTGGAAACTAAATAACTCATTACTTAATGAACAATGGATCATCGATGAAATAAAAGAGGAAATTAAAAAGTTCCTGGAAGTCAATGAAAATGAAAACACAACCTACCGGAACCTATGGGACACAGCAAAGGCAGTCCTGAGAGGAAAGTTTATAGCCATGAGTGCATATATTAAAAAAGACTGAAAGATCCCAAATCAATGACCTAATGATACATCTCAAACTCCTAGAAAAACAAGAACAAGCAAATCCCAAAACAAATAGGAGAGAAATAATAAAAATAAGAGCTGAAATCAATGAAATAGAAACCAAAAAAACCATACAAAGAATTAATGAAACAAAAAGTTGGTTCTTTGAAAAAATAAACAAGATCGATAGACCCCTGGCAAACCTGACTAAAATGAGGAGAGAAAAAACCCAAATTAGTAGAATCAGGAATGCAAAAGGGGAGATAACAACAAACACCATGGAAGTCCAGGAAATCATCAGAGACTACTTTGAGAACCTATATT